AGAGGGCCCCACCTGCCTCTGCCCCAGATGCCCCCCCCACAAGGTGCCTTTGCTCATGCTTGTCAGCCACGGTGCCCTCTCTCCTGCTGTCCAATGTCACCTCTTCCCTGCATTTCAAACTTTATTCTTAGAAATGATTTATGCATTTCCTTTTAAATTTGTTCTGTAAATGTTTCTTGTCACATACACATACGAGTATTTGGTATAAACGCACATAATCATGACCCTCTTCTGTCTTGTTCTGCTTGGCTTCCCACCCCCAGCATCACCTGCCCTCAGGCAAATAACAGAACACTATGCTTCTGTCATCTTTAATATGGGAAGAGTAATACTCTTTCATAGGGTTATTGTGAGGGATAAATGAGTGAATACACAAAAAAATCACCAGGGCTGCAGAAGTCACACAGTGGCCACGCTCAGGTGCAGACAGGAGAGGTGGTCTGAGAGACTGACCAGAAGGGAGCCCCAGGAGGCTTCAAGGTCCCGGGCTCAATCTGCTTGTTGACGTGGTGCTAGCTTCACAGGGCATTCAGGGTGTGAAGACTCATTGTGCTGTATGCTGAAGGTATTTGTAATTCTTTTCTCTGTATTCTACTTCTAAAAACTGTGTTTTTTAAAAGTGTGCATGGGAACTGGTAAAAATTCCTAGGAAGTCTTCAGACCTCCAAAAGCCCTGGAAGGGATGGGGTCCAAGCCCATATCTCCAAGGAGAAAAGGGGAGTCCAGCTAATACTTGGGGTAAAATTGGAGTAAACAGAATATATATATCCCAAACAAAACAAAAGTGAAAGAAAATAAAATATACATCTTGAGATAAACAGAACAAACTTTAAAATCAACAAAAACAAGAATCAGTTCTTTCATGCATGTTTATAGTAGTTGAATATATGTGCTGAAAGTTGTATGTATATACACATACACACACAATATATATATGATACATATATTAATTTCCCTGTAAATATCCTGCAAAGTGTATTCATTCTCTTTGCATTCTAAGTATCTCTTAGTGTCCTATATGATTTTCTCTTTATCCGAAGAGTTACTTAGTAGGCTGCTATTCAGTTTACAAACATAGAAGATTTGTTTAAACTATCTAGCCATATCTAAATTTAGTGTTTTATTTTCAGAGAATGTAGTTGGTATGATGCTGATTCTCTGCAACAGATGCTTCTCTCGTGGCCTAGTAGATTTCAGCTATTGTTAATGTTCCCTCTGTCTTCAAAAAGGTGTAGTCCCTGCCTTTGCACTTTTTTTAAATGAGAAAACATTTAAAGAAAGTATTTGAGATTGCATGGCAAACCGTAAGAGTGAACAGTTCTGTAAGAGCTGTTTAAGTAATATACCCATAAGCACTTATCCATAAATAGAGGAATGCGCGTGCTGGGTCACAACGTAAAGCAGTTTTTACTGCGAGTCTCAGAAAAAGTAGAAAGACACGACCGTGGAGGAGCGTTTTTAAAAAGCGGGGAAGTGGGGAAGGATTCCCGGGACCTCGCTGTACCACCTCTGCCACTTGCTGTGCTTTTCTACTTATTTCAAAAGGGAGGGGCGCTGCCTCAGAACCTGGGTCCCTGAAGCGATGTTCGACGTTCTCCCTAGACTTCTAGACGTCTCCGCTGAAGGCGTCTGCTCCCCGATAGTGCACCCTCGGTTTCGGGTCCGGGGATCCGGCAGCCGGCCAGCCCTCGGACCTGGCGGATGGGCCCTCGCCCCGCGCGCGCGCGCCTCTCGCGATAACCCCGCCCCTCGCCCACGGAGCCGGAGGGCACCATGGAGATGCGTGTTCTTCCGAGCCTCCTAGAGCGGCGCTGCGGACCGTTTCCGGGGACGGGCCGGAACCGGAGGTGTCTGCGCCCGGCGCCCGGCGCCACTCTCGGCGCTGTGCAGGGCGGAGGCCTATGGTGAGTCGGTGCCGGCCATGGGGCGGGGCCTGGGGTCGCGGTCTTCTGAGCACCGCAGGGGACTGACCGCAGCCGGCCGCGGCCCCTCGCTTCTCGTTGGGTGCCAGGCCTTGGGGAGGGTCCGGTGGGCGAAGGGTCCGGGGTCCCGCTCCCCCGGCTGGGGCGAGAGGCGTGCGGGCCGGGCCCCGAGTCCTGCGTCCCCGGAGCATGGGTGGTCGTGCAGAGCTGCGGCTGCAGGGGAGGGAGGTGGGAGGACCGGTTCTGTCCGGGTCTGCACCCCCTCGGGAGCAGCAGGTGCGCTGGCCGCCCCCGGCGCGGCCTCTCCCCCGCCCTCGTTTCTGGCGGAGAACTGTCAGCCCGGCGCCCTTTCCCTCTCACGCTTCACCCTGTGCGGTTCCTCCCCTCCCCGGGTTGAGTCACTCATTGGACGACAGTCATTCGGTCAGTAGTTAGGAAGTACTCACCGTGTCCAGAGCACTCTTCCCAGGGGATTCCACAGTGAACAGACAGCGGCCCTGGCCTCACGGAGCGTGTTTTGTAATAGAGGCAATAAACAAGTAAGCAAAGTTTTTGACCGTGACAAGAGCTATGAAGAAAATAAACCAAGGGGATAGGATTCTGAGAGATCAGGGGTCAGAGTTAGCTATGGGTGGTCAGGGAAGACCTCTCCAAGGAGTTAACATTTGAACTGAAACCTGATGGCTGAGAGGCCTTGCCAATCCCTTAGGAGAAACTTCTAGGTGAAGAGAACTGCACCGGAATGCCTTGGCTGGTTTGAGTTAACGGAGAGAAGGCTGGCCTGGCTGCAGTGTAGTGAGCAAGGGGGCAGGCAAGGGAGCTGGGCAAGGTGCCCTAGGCCCCCGAGAAACAGAAGTTTTATTTTAAATCGAAGGGAAAAATGACTCCTGCTTGTCCTCCAGGCCCCAATTAAATGTAACCCCAAGAAGCCCTCCCTGATCCTCCATCTAAGTTAGCACTCCCCTCTCCTTGCTATTTTCTCTCCTGACACTGTTTCTCAACCCAGCACTGTTTTCATTTGATTAAAGACATATTTCCTGATTCCAGAGATAGAACTAAAAGCAGGTTTTTTCCCCTCTAAGCAGGCGGCTGCTCCCTGAGGACACGCACTCCCCAGATATGAGCAAACAAGAACCAGCAGTGGTAACTTCCCCCTCCTAGCAGTGCCCGGTGGTATGTGTTAAGGTGTGGTGGGCTAGGTCTTCCCCTGAGACGCTTGTCGTCTGAGATGCTCTGGTTGCCTTGTCAGGGTGAGGAGGACAGGAGATCAATGTGTCAGCAGGAGCAGCAGCAATGGCCCAGGCAGGTCCTGCCCACAGCCTGCCCTGGACAGCCCGCCTGGTGGGGGCTAGCTGACAGTGGTGTGGTTCTGCTCCTCTGTGCGTTTGCAGTCTGTGCTGTCCACCAAGCCTCTCAGATCATCCTCAGTAGCCATTATATCCTTACATGTTAACAGGGCTCTCCTGCCAAATGTCACCTCATGGCATCATAATTGCAGGCTTTCCGTTAACTGATGCCTAAAGGGGATGTTGCTTTACAAAGTGGTAACTATTTAGGAGGCTCAAACCTCACAGAAAAGGATACCCCAGAGACCTCCTCCCAAACACAGGAGCTCAAGTATCTGTCGAGGGAGGGGCATGGAGGGAGGGAGGGAGGGGCTTGTGCCTTCTCTGCGAACGCTTGGCCAGAGCAGAATTATATTTATTGGCTTTTAAATAACTTTCCCCCAACCGCAGAAGCAATACACATTTGTAAATAAGTAATGAGTCTTGGGAAAATCAGAAAAATGGAAAGAAAAATAAGAACTGCCCATAATTCTATGACCCGGAAAGAAACTAGGGTTAATGTGCTGGGGTGTGTGCTGCCAGGTTTATTTTTCTGCTTACAGTCTGCTTGTTTCACATAGTGATGTAGCAAGAACATTTTCTGATCTTCCACAACGTGGTCTTACTGGTTGCAGAGTCACCCACATCGTGGATCAACTCATTTATTCCACACATCCTTGCTGAGCATATGCTGGATGCCAGGCCCTGGGGGTACAGCATGAATAACCAGACCTCAGGCCTTGTCTCACAGGGGGAGGCAGATGAGAAGCAAGTAAGTTGACATGAGGCAGATGACATAGGTGCTATGGAGAAAAATAAAGGAAGGAGGGTATGGATTCCAGGGTGGGGGTGACATTTTAAATAGGGTGGTCTCAGAAGGCCTTCCTGGGAAGGTTGGGAGGAGTGAGGGGTGGAGCCATGTGGGTGAGCAGGTCTCGGGTACGGCTTCTTCTTGGGACATGAGGGAGGCAGCTGTGCTGGCCGGGATGTTCTTGCTCCATGTCTCACCCTCTCCTGTGTCTTCTGGGTCTGGGTGGTCCTCCTAGGGGATGGGAGTTGGGGGGCCTTAGGCCTGGGCTCCTTCTAGTCGATACTCACTGTCCCCAGCTCCTTCCCTGGCAGAGACCCTGGAATGGCAGCGCCACTCGTGATGCCCAGACCCCAGGTGAGCTCTCCCATTGAGCCTTAGCTTTTCAGTCCTGAGTACCTTCCCAGGGAGCCCCAGACCCACCCATGTTGCTCCCACTCCTTCAGGGGGGTCACAGGGATGGAGTCTGCAAGCCAAGGGTCAGCCTCCTCCCTTTGCAGCCTCACAGTGGCTCTGCTGACTCCTTCCTGAGGCTTTGGGCAGAAGTGGCTGTCCGGAGCCTCCTTCAGCCCCTGAGCTACCAGGGTCAGCCGGCAAGGGCAGGGTCCCTGTCCTTCCCCAATGCCTGTCTCCATCCTGGTGTGAATGGTCAGCCCTTCCATGGTGCACACAGTCTTTAGCCTCTGCGGGGTGCTGAGAACCAAGCTGGAGGCTCGGCCACTAGTATCTCTGGGGTGCCCCCTCCCCACACTCCTGATAGCCTATGAAGAAGTATGAGGCCAAGGTCAAGACCCCACCCCACCCATGGCTTGACGGCAGCAAGACTGCTCCGTCCCTTGGAGAGTGTTGGGTTGTTCCCTCTGTGCCAGGCCCTGGGGATGCAGCAGTGACCACACACAGAGGCCTTGACTCCCAGAGCTGAACAGTGCCCCTGAGTGCTCCTGACATGGCCTCCTCATCTCCTGCCCAGCCAGCCGTGGACAGCGGGGTTTCTGGTTGCAGGAGGCTGTTGTGTTCGAGGATGTGGCCGTGTACTTCACAAGGATAGAGTGGAGTTGCCTGGCTCCTGACCAGCGGGCACTGTACAGGGACGTGATGCTGGAGAACTATGAGCACGTGGCGTCACTGGGTGAGGCTTCCCTGGCCATTCTGGGGCTGGGCTCAGAGACCACCCTGGCTCTGCCACCAGCCATGCTGGGGAGTTGGTTCCTTTCCAAATGCGAAATCCGACATTCGGGGAGGGGGGCTGGAGGGCCCCCCATCTCCCCATGGCCACCCAGCTGCCCTGCTCCTGGGGAAGTAGATGTTCCTGACCCACTCCAACTGCCACGTGCCCCCAGGGGCTCCAGCCAGGCAGCTGGGTGTCCTTCCTCCCTCCTGCTCTCTGACATGTACTGTTCTTCCTGCTCGTAGGCTTTCTTGTCCCCAAACCAGCGCTGATCTCCCTCTTGGAGCAAGGGGAGGAGCCAGGGGCCTTGATTTTGCAGGTAGCTGAGGAGCAAGAGACCAAGGCCAGCCCATGCCCAGGCAAGTGCGAGGCACGGAGGCCCAGCCTTCACACAGCTCCTTGCAGGCCCCTGGGGCTCACGCACTAGGAGGCACTCGTGCATATGTTTAGCTTCTCATAGCAGGGCCACATTTCCTACTGAACGCCTCCCTTGTGGTCCAGAGTCACCCAGGACTAACTCGTGTAAGAAACCCAAGTGCGTGAGCGTGCGTCCCAGTGCCCCAAGGTGTCGGACAGGTCTGTGGAGGCGGTGGGTGCGTGGGGAAGACCCAGCAGGCAGACCCTTGAGCTGCTTCAATTCTCCCGGTTCGCCACGGCTCGAGTGCTGGGTTCTGAGCTGGGGGCTGCTGAGCTACTGATAGGGAGAAGCAGTGGCCTCCATCCCTGGAGCCTGCACAGGCAGCACCCCAATGCGTCCGCTGAGTGAATGAACTGTGGGTGCGTGCTCTGAGGGAGAGGGGAGCAAAGGACAGGGTCACCCTGCTCCCTGCAGGTCCTGCCCCTGCACCTAGCCTGCCCCCCAATCCTTTGGGGCAAGCTGGTGTCCTCTGCCTTCCTCCCCCTCCCCCTCCGAGAGCTCCCCACCAAGCCAGCCTCCCACAGTGCCGAAGCCCTTTTAACCTCCCTTTTTCTTTCCCTTTCTCACCGGAACCCTGATTTTAAAGCTTCTTGCCAGAAGTTCTCAAACGTCCCTGGTTCTTTGACATAAAGATTCTGTCTTCAAATTAGTAAGTTCCTTCTTTGAGTAGAGAGGCCGGATCATCCTTCCATTTTCTGTCCATTCTTCCAGGTTCCAGGATGGAGGCCGGGATGAAGGAGTCTTCTCTGAGGAGAGTGTCCTCTAAGCAGGCGGGACTACTGGGCTCAGTTTTGGGGCAGCTCCCTGGGGGGGGCCCCGAGTTACCTGTACCGAAGGGCAGTCCTGAAGATGGATCAGGTAGGCGACTCCTCAGCCCCCAGGCAAGTGGCCCTGGTGGGGAGTGTGGCACGTCCCCCGTGTCCCTGGAGGAAGGAGGGCTCTGCTGGGGCCCTTCAGATGCTGCTGGGGAGAGAGTGCACAGGTGCGCTTGTGGCAAGGCGTTCAAGTACAACTCGCTGCTGCTCAGGCACCAGGTCATCCACGTGGGGGCCAAGCCCTTCCAGTGCACCGAGTGTGGCAAGGCCTTCAAGCAGAGCTCCATCCTCCTGAGACACCAGCTGATCCACACTGAGGAGAAGCCCTACCAGTGCAGTGAGTGTGGCAAGGCCTTCCGGCAGAGCACTCAGCTGACCGCACACCACCGGGTCCACACCCGGGAGAAGCCCTACGAGTGCGGCGAGTGCGGCAAGGCCTTCAGCCGCAGCTCCCGGCTCCGGCAGCACCAGAAGTTCCACACGGGGGAGAAGCCCTACGAGTGTGGCGAGTGCGGAAAGGCCTTTGGCCGCAGGTTCACCCTCAAGGAGCACCGGCGCATCCACAGTGGGGAGAGGCCCTACACATGCCCGCAGTGTGGGCAGCGTTTCATCCGCGGGTCCTCGCTCCTCAAACATCACAGGCTGCACGTCGAGGAGAGCCCCCAGGAAGACGGCGGGTACCAGAGCCCCCTGCTCAGTGCGGCCCACAAGATCCACTCAGGGGACAAGCTCTACCAGTGCCCAGTGTGCCAGAAGCCCTTCAAACACAACTCCCTGCTCCTCTTGCACCAGAGGCTGCACACAGGTGAGAGGCCCTTTGAGTGCAGGGAATGTGGCAGAGCCTTCAGCCGCAAGTCCAACCTCACTCTGCACCAAAAGACCCACACCAAGGAGAAGCCCTTCGCCTGCATGGAGTGCGGCAAGGCTTTCCGCAGGAGCTACACACTGAACGAGCACTACCGGCTGCACAGTGGCGAGAGGCCGTACAGGTGCCGGGCCTGTGGGAGGGCCTGCAGCCGGCTGTCCACCCTCATCCAGCACCAGAAAGTCCACGGCCAAGAGTGCTCCCAGGAGGGCGGGGAGGACAGGCAGGTGCCACGCTGGGCAACCTGTTGAGGTGACAACAGGCAGAGAACCTAGCCAGGGCTGTCAACCCTCCCACTTGGCTGTGCAGCAGGGCATTCGTCTTGGATGGAGAAGGGAGGGGCTGGGGCTGTGGTCAGACAGCCTGAGGGAGGGACAGAGAGGAAGGCAGAGCCAGAGTGGGTCCCCACCCACTCGAGCCCGGATGCCCACAGGAGAGCAGCGTTTCTGAACCACCTGGGTCTGTGCCTGGATGCACACACAGGCTCCAATTAATCACGTGGGGTTGTGCGTGGGTTCTGTTTTCTTTTTGCATGCATCTGTTTTCCAAACATTGACTTGTGATCAGAAAAAAGCATATGTTGTTTCTTTGGTGGTTCATTTGTTACTAGGATTGTCCAAGATCACACCCTATTTGCAGGGGCTCTAGCCACCTAGTGGGAGCAGGAGAGGCACAGGACTAGAGTCCACACAGCGCCTGGCGTGGGGACATTTGGAAGTCAGGGCCAGACTGAGGGTTTGTAAATGAGCCAGGGCCAGCGGGGTGGTAGTGGCTGAGGCCAGGACTTGAGGTGGGTCTGCAGGGTCTGGCCAGCGCTTCACGAGCCCCAGCCAGGCTAGGTGTAACCTGCCTCCACCGGGTCTGTTGGCAGAAGGTGCTCACTGAGAAGCAGCCCCTGGAGGGCCTGCTGGTCAGGGAGGCCATCTTAGTGACCCCTCCTCACCATCAGCACCCCCAGCAACCCTGAGAACGCTGACAGGCTTCATGGCATCTTACAAAACACGTGCCAGAAAGGAAGCCACCACCCCGAGCCAAGCTAAGGGCTTGACCTGTGAATATGTATTTTTTAATTAACATGTTTTTTTCCTAAATATAAAAGTTATTGTAGAACATTTGGAAAATGCAGAAACTTATAAAAAGGCAAATGTAAAAAATTGCCCTTTGACCCACTCTCCAGAGATGGCTGCTGTGATGTTTGGTGCGTTTTCTTAGTTTCTTTCTAACGCACATGTATAGATACTGGTTTTACAAATTGGGGTTATGCTTTGCTTAGGATTCTATACCTAATGATCGGGTGACGCCCTATACACCTGCCATTTTCTGTGGTTTAATTAGCAACTCCCTTATGGTCAGACCTCTCTTTCCCACATCGTTGCTGTTACCCCACAGTGGACGTGCACATCTGCTCACATCCATGATGACTTCCTTGGGGTTGAGGTGGACTTTGCAGGTGAAGGGTACTGGGGGGGGGAAGGGACTGTTTTTAATCACTTCATTAATCATGAAAAATTCCACTCTTGTTTTTGTTTGCATTTCTTTGCCTTTTCATGGGGTGAGTCCCCTGTAAGCTCTTGCACCAGTTTTGTTGGGTTTGTAGAACTTCTGTGTTGTTCCAATCCCTTTCCCTTAGTATCTCTCTTTCGTCAGTTGTGGTACAAACCACAGGCTCTCCTGAGGATGGGGAGGTGGAAGGAAAACTGCATCTCAGAAATGAGGAAGTGACACATTACAAATATTTTTCTCAGTTCTTTTTTTTCTTTTCTTTTTGAAGAAGATTGGCCTTGAGCTAACATCTGTTGCCAGTCTTCCTCCTTTTTTTTCCCTCCCCAAAGCCCCAGTAGATAGTTGTATGTCATGGTTATACATCTTTTTAGTTGCTGTATGTGGGACACCGCCTCAGCATAGCTTGATGAGCGGTGAGTAGGTCCGCACCAGGATCCAAACCCGTGAACCCCGGGCTGCCAAAGCAGAACGCGCAAACTTAACCGCTGCACCACCAGGCTGGCCCCTCCCAGTTCTTTCTTTGCTTGTAATTATGAGGGTTGTGTTTTGTGTTTTTTGGGGTTTTCTGCTGAGAAAGATTCGCCCTGAGCTAACATCTCTGCCAATTTTCCTCTATTTTGTATGTGCGTCCCCACCACAGCATGGCCACTGACAAGTAGTGTGGTTCCACACCCAGGAACCAAACCTCGGCTGCCGAAGCAGAGCGTACCAAATTTAACCACTAGGCTACCAGGGCTGGCCCTAATTATGAGGTTTTTAATATGAAAAATACATTCCCCTGTGGCCAAAACTGTCTGTCCTGATATGATTAGAAAAGCCTTCCCACCCCAAGATTTTATAAAACATTTTCCTCACTTTGGTTAAGTTACTAAGTAATACATATCTATAGTAACACAGCAAGGAAACCTCAATAGAGAAACAGGAAATAAGAGCCCCTCCCCCTTCCCTCACCCCTCACTCCAGACACACCCCTGGTTAACTGTTTGGTGGCTCATTCCAGATATTTTTCTTCGCATTTTAAACATTCAATGTACGTGTCTCTGTTTTTCTACAAGCAGGATTGTTCTGCATGTGCTTGCAAGGGCTTTTGATGTGTTGACTTGCTGGGCTGAACTACAGCCCCCAGAATTCCCTTTTAGGTGGATTCCAGAAAGATGGGCTATGGGGAAGGAAGGGGCCATTTGTAACTCAGACACCTTCTCCCCAATATTCAGACACTAACCTAGGTGCTGCTGTGAAGAGATTTTGCAAATGTGATTAAAGCACCTAATCAGTTGACTTTAAGTTAATCAAAGGGAGATTATCTTGGTGGGCCTGACCTAATCAGTTGGAAGGCCTTTAAAAGCTTAAAAGGTTTCCATGAGACTCCTGCCTGTGGAAAGTGTCAGCTGGTGACCACAGCTCAGCCAATGAGAAACACCACAGCCCAGCCAATGAGAAACGCCGCAGCTCAGCCAATGAGAAATGCCGCAGCTCAGCCAATGAGAAACGCTGCAGCTCAGCAGATGAGAAACGCCACAGCTCAGCAGATGAGAATCTGTTGCTGCCCTGAACTGCCGCTTTCCCCCAATTGACTTTCCTTTAGAACAGCCCCTCCCTACTCCCCCTTTTTCTCTATTAAAGCAGTTTCTCTCCTTTGTTTACTGGATTTGCCTTTGGTTTGCCATAGCATGCACATCCTGAATTGCAATTCTTTTGGCTATTCCTGAAAAAACTCATTTTGAGGGTAAAATAACTGGTGAATTTGCTGACAGGATAGATGGAGGGATGGTTGGAGGTGAGATCGCACCTCACCAGGCCACCTGTCATAGCTATCCGGCATCGTGTCCCTATACAGGCTCCTCTAACGGGCACAGGGCCTGGGCCTCGGTGCTGCAAGAAGGCACCAATGCTGACCCAGCACAGGGCAGGGCTCCAAAGTAATTCATGGTCTCCACTAAAGGTACCACTGCACAATCCTTCAGCCACAGTTCCAAAATCTCAAGAGCTTTGCAAACCAAACGCAGCTTTGTAACTCATTTGGCCGGTAAGCTGGCCATAAGCCCACACATGGCTCTCTGTTCCTTCTCCCAGCCTAGATCAGGGATGTGCTGACTGTGGCTCCTGGAACACCAGAGAGCCATTAGGAAACCAGATTGTTGGAGACTGCACAGGACAAAGACCCCAGTTTCCTGAGCTAATAAATTGCAAGGAGGAACAAGAGGAGGGAGGGTACCTGGCAGAGGAAGAGACTTCCAGCCAATCTGTCCCAGTTGGAGAGTGGTTCATGCACAGACTATACAACTGAACCAAGAAAACACCCGACGGCACTTTTGAGACAACTGGAAACTTGAATACTGACTGGATGGTTGACCATATTAAGGACTTATAGCTCTTTTTACAGCGTCCTTTTCTTTCAGATACATGCACTACAATATTTGTAGATGAAATTAGATGACCTGGGTTTTGCTTCAGAATGATCTGGAAGGGGCTGTGGGTGGACATAGATTACACCAGGCTCTCCAAGCTGGTGATAGGGACACCGGTCAGTCTACTTTGGGATAGGTTTGACATTTTCTGCTGTGAGACTCAAAGCCTGACCAACTAGAAGCTATCGGAAGGCCCTGAGGGCAGGGCAGTTACTGCAGGAGAGTCTGGGCAGAAGATCGAGCAGAGCAGAGAGGAGAGGAGATGGCTGCAGGCAGTGGAGGCAGCCCCCGCCACTCCGCCAGGCACTGGAGTGAGCTGCTCTGTGAGGCCTGAACACCCTTTGCTGCCGTGGCCGCAGGAGCTCATATGGACGCTCCAGAAAGAATGTCACCCCTGACAGGAACTCAGTGAGCCAGCCCTAAGCCCCCCTCCGTAGGCCCAAATCTGCAGCACTCCAGGCAGGTACACAGGCCTGCTCTGAGGGGAAGAACTTCTCCAATCTGAGGGCCAGTGCTGAGGGCCCTACACAGCACAGTGAGAGGCTGGAGGGCAACGAAGAGCAGTCACAACAGTTGTGGGGGCAGCCAGCGGGCAGAATGAAGACAGGCGCAGGCTGAAGTCAGCTGAGATTAAGAAGCTGGAAGACAGGTCCTTCTTCAGGAAGCGGGGCCAGCTGATGTGGGTCGTGGCCTTCATGGACTCAAAGAGGCAAAAGTAATGCACTAGATTTGCACAAAACAAGGGCAGGCTGATCTCAAACACAATGTGGGGGTGGAGATGAGACTTACGGCATAATAGTAATTATGTCCATTTAAAGAAGACACTCGGGCCAGCCCCGTGGCTTAGCAGTTAAGTGCGCGCGCTCCGCTGCTGGCGGCCTGGGGTTCGGATCCCGGGCGCGCACCCATGCACCGCTCCTCCGGCCATGCTGAGGCCGCGTCCCACATGCAGCAACTAGAAGGATGTGCAGCTATGACATACAACTATCTACTGGGGCTTTGGGGGGAAAATAAATAAATAAATAAAATCTTTAAAGAAGACACTCAAAACATATTCTCTCAAAGACCTACCTACAGAGATAAAGCCTGGCCCGAGGTGTCGAAGGGTGCAGACCCAGGAGAAGACGGGGCGAGGCCTTTAAGTTGCTGTGATGTGGGAGTGCGCACACTTGCCTCGGAGCTCCTGTGGCCCAACAGCAGCCCGCTGGGCCACACAGCCAGAGCTCTCTGCCTGGAGACTGGCCTGCTCAGTGACTTCGGTCTCTGCCTTGTGGGTCAGGCCAGCCCTCAGGCCTCCTCCTCCTTCCTTCCCTCCCTCCTGGACCTGCTGCTGTGGGGAGAGTGGGTTCACCTGGAAAGCCTCCACCATCCCCGAACTGTGCAGAGACTGAGTGGCCCCCTCCATTGCCCCAGCATCCCTGGGAGTGAGGC